ACCGCCAAATTACCGACGCAGTCCGGCTGCCTTCTCACATGAACATACCATCGCAGCCTACTCTCCTGCGTCTTGTCGGCTATGTCGCGAACAACCAGGCTGCCTTGCACGTGCGAGTACGTACTCGGAGCGGTTTTCTAGTCTCGCATTTAAAAAAAAAATGATACAATATTATGTGCTAATATTGCAACATACATCTTTTATCATTTATCTCAATGATTTTTTTTGTTTCTCATTGACGTAAATGTCTTATCGTTTTTTAACATATACCGTAACGAGTATGAAATGCAAATCGACGATGATCATCGTTTACTCATTTTGATTTGTAATCATAAAACTTATAAACAATGTGAACTATGGTTAAGTGTTCACTAAGAGAGTCTATAAATGTAGTGCTAGTACAAAAACATAAGACAGTAAGGGCCTGTCCCACCACTAGCTGATAGAGACTCAAATAGCTTTAAAGTGACGTCACCAGACAAGAACACAAAGTCCGACATTTCCATCACATATTTTACACGTATTGTTATGAGACAAATTACAATTTGGTGGGACAGGCCTTAAATGTTATTAATCTACTGCTCAAGATAGAGTTCGGAGGTTTTACATTAATTATAAAACCAGACACAGACATTTTTTGCACAGTCGTTCAGATATAAACTGACAGTATAGTGAACAATAAGCACAGTTAATCCAATCGATTCATTATCGATTTGATAAAGTTATGTAAGAATAGATTACTCATAACATATCAAATTATGACACTTATGTCATCAGTCATATTTGTTTTGCAGGAAGAGACGGCAGTTACGTGTCTGGGGAAGCTTGATTGAATATTAGATAATGTTTATCATAGCAGGATTGGTTTGTAACAGAGGTTCACAAACTTTTTTTTTTATATAACATAAGGTGGCAAATGAGCAACCGGCCGCCCGAATCCACCGAAATGGAAAGCGACCGCTGCCTATAAACATCCGCAATTGCAGATGCGTTGCCTACACTTGAAGGAGGAGGAGACGCACATAAAGAGGACATTTCCCCTTCCTATGCATTTCCTCCACTTAAAACTTATTTAATTATCCATACGAATGTGAGAACAATCGCAACTAAAGTATTAGAGATGATTTTGATTCAAACTTCAACTAGAGACTCCCGACAGAATGGCGCGTTAACCTAATACGTCTGAATGACATTGACAGCTGTCAGATAGGGATGGGCCGTCTATACCGATGTTCTAGTGTTGCAGGATTTTCTTCTTAATAGGAAGAACCTTTAGTATTCGAAACTAGTTAAAATTCTCGTAGACTACTTTTTTTCAAGCATTTGTGAACCTTCGTCAGATCTCTAATAAAATCCTGGTGTCTATTTGTATGAAGAAGTTTTATTATACTTTATTCGTTGGAACATGTGCAGATTATTTTACGAAGTTAACATTTTAGTTCAAAAATTAAAAGATTAAGTTTAATAAAAGTAAACGATCGAAATGCCAGCTAAATTAAATCTCTAAATTGTGTTAATATTTTAAATGAATGAATTTTCGATATCTAAAACAGGTAAAACCATCTAAGTAACATCAAAATATTAGTTTTCTGATATGAAATACTATACTAATCAATTATATCGTTATTTATAGTGATTAATTATAACTTATTTATATTGTTAATTCTTCTAGTTTAATTTCCGGATTTTTGCGAAAGAAATGTAACGTTTAAAAATATTATGAGTAATTATTCACAACATTTATTGTAAAACTATTGTAGGACAGTCTTCCGTATGTCTTGACAGTTAACTAAATATGACTATTCCATTGTTTTAATTCTAATAATATTGAATACTTCAGTGTTACTATCTATAAAACATCTTTTTATGTCAAAATTACAATTAATAAAACATACATAACACTTCAATAAACCCTTCTTTCCTATTGCATGTGGGCTTAGGTAGAGAATAATCATTTTCCATTGATTGTAGTTGTGCTTATAGTTAAATGGAATTTTATTTGTAAATCATTTATAAAATAAATCATAAACAAATTCTTTACTTTCTTCTCATTTAATACTGATATATTGTATAACACACATTTTATGTGTATTTGCATGACTCATTATTTATTCAATTGTTGGACCACTTCGATCTTTCTCTTTCGTAATACTAGCGACGATTTTGTTTTTAAATGTATAGGTGTTTAGACATATTATATTAATACATATAGGTACTGAAATTTATCGTTATACATTTTTATTAGTTGCGTCACCAGCAAGTTTATAATATTAATTAGACATTCGATTACAAAAACGTCAATTTATTGTTTTGTGTAAGAATTAATTGTTTGTTCCATTACAAATACATTAATTACGTAACGTTCAATTTACTAGCAAGTGTAAATTTTATTTTTCCTTCTGAAAATGCACACGAAATCCATGATATGTTTGCTTTCAGATTTTCCCGTTTGGCTGAGTTTTAGTTTTTATTTAAAAAGTAAATAAATAGGATTCAGTACAAATTGGTCACGTCTGTAACATTGTAATGCTCGTGGGATTCGAAATGCACCTGAAGAAGAGGTGTCAGGTTGATTGCGTGAGGTCGACACAAAGGCTTATCGGCGTCGGGGCTGCGCCCGCGCAGCCTGCCCGAGAGAGAGGCACAATGCCTCGCACCTACTGACACCATCATTTGTCAAACACGTGGAGATTTATTGCTTGTACGTAATATTCACAAACACATTGTATAATTTAAACTGCGGTAATCATTGACGATAACGGTCACTAAATGACACTTATGGTAGATTTTGCACGATAAGTACAAAAGGTTAATAAGAATACTCTAATTATGTAAATGACTGGAGAATCTACTAGCTGGCAAATACACCCGACCAACCTTGTGTTCAGGTTTGTCCGAGTGTAATAGAGTTGTGTCAATATTTTATTTCTGTACTGTTGTACATATGAGTGATTCATCTAAAATGTCGTAGAGATTAGTGTACGTAGTATTGACTGTGAGCTTGGCTCAAAGAAAACGAGGCTACTTCGGTTGTCAGTGGGTGATTTATTAGCGATAATTCCCTGTAGTATTACACCCTCTCAAGAACGACGGCAATAAGATAGGCACAACGTATTATATTTTGTTTATTATAATGCTTGTCTATTTATAGCTTGTAAGCCGTAAAAACATTGTCACCCTATCCAAGAGTCTACACGATTCACAATTCAATTTCAAACTCGCCACGCCAGCCAGTGTCGCGCCGACCGTTAACGACGTCGCATGTCGGGCGTTAATGTTGCTAGCTCATAAAAACTTTACGAAGTTCGAGTTAGTTCAAAAACAAACATAATTGCTGTTCCCTAATTTTCGATAAACGAATTAAAGTGTTGTGAAACAGTGGTCTGTTTGTATTAAGACATTTAGTCTGGACGATTACAATAAACTCGTGTTACGAATGTTAGCCGGTATTTAGTTTGGTAAAAGTGAGTGTGTGTGGACGCCGATGGTTCAATTAGAACTTGACTAGGGTTTTTTGTTACGTGGACTGAGCCTGAGTGGGCAGCGAGATCACAGATGTTGAAGTTGGTGAGTTAGAATGTTGACCTACGATTAAACTGCGCACACGCATAAACACTACGACCGGATTTTTAATCGCTTAGTCAATTGTTTTCTTCACTGTTCATTCATAAATTGCGTTTCGTTTTATTGGAATTTTTATGTCCGTTTCGATTCTTGCTTGAAATTTATATGGCAACACTGATTGCATTTTCATTGATATGTTCACGTATCTGATTTTGATAAGATAATTACGATACAACCGTATAATGTGTAAAGGTAAAACAGTTGATAATAATTAATGTTTGTGGAAGTCTATCAGTGACGTCATAACCTTGTAGTTAGAAAAGTTTACCTTCCCCTGCTGATACACACGTGCCTTTAAGCGCATGTCTATTGCCTATCTTAAAAGTGCAACACAGTCTTGAGAGCACGTTTTATTCTATTACCATATTCATTTACGTAATGTTAGTTTGTTAGTAGACTGTCTTTTCGTGTCATTGGTTTGAATAATTTAAATATGAAACATAATTAACCAATGCTTTTCGACGTTCGTTATAAACACGTAAACTTATAACATACCTACAGATAATTGTAATTGTGACAATTAATGTAGCTTATCTGTCTGTAAATATTTGTAAATAAATGCTTGTTTTGTATTAGAGCGGGCGCACACCTCTGATTGAACAATCGCACATCAGTTGCGATTGTCGATTGTTTTGCAGCCCATTCAACTGGTCGCATAACTAAATCGAGTAGTGGGCGCACTTCTATATAAGCTAATAGGTATTAAAGCGCAACTAAACAGTTCTGCGATAGTTTAGTCAAAAGTGATCAAGCGCCCTTAATTGTATAGACTCAGTATGAATTATATGATCATGTGTATGTTTCCAGTTCTAACGTTCGTAGAGATTACCGTATTTCACTCGGAAGTCGGATAAATAATTTAAGTAAATCTGCTAAATTTCAAAACGGTAGCTGTTACATTTTCTAAGGTAAGCGACCGTGACCCAGAGGCGGGTGTTTTCACTTTTTATAAACGAACAGTTTCCCTCGACTGAGATTACTCTAAATGATTTGTCTCTCTTTTTAACATTTCATGAATCTTTATGATATTGTAGTAATACTGGTGACAACGAAGAGACCGGAATTGACAATGATTCTCAACAATTTTCGAAGAAAGTAGTTAATTTGGCAACTGCCAACTGAGAGGCACTTTTAAAACAAGAAGATTAATGTGGATATTTCTTTCCACAAATAGAAGCACCAGCAATAGAACAAAGAGCTATATAACATTAAGTTAGTAAAAACGGAATCTAGTCCTAATACACTGGATTTAACGTGGTACATTTGAAAGCTAATCTCTTGCGTGAGAAAGTATGTAAAACTTTATGCTCTCAGTTCAGGCAGCATCACAGATTGCGGAATATTAATGGGCGAGTAAAAGTAATTCGTCGACGATAACTGTTGCATTCGTTGCGTTGTTTCGAGCATCATTCGATATTTCGTGCGGTATTTATTATTTCATTCTTTGTAACATGTATTCGTTTTTACAATGACTTGCATAATAATTGATTTTTATATTTCGAGGTTATTTTTGCGAATTTATATCGTGCAATTATGTCATTGATAGGCAACCGTTTTTTTTTAATGTGCTTGCTAATAACCGAATGATTTGGGAATTTGGACTTGGACTTACGGGATAGATTATTGAAGCAAAATGTAATAGAGTAAGCCTGGGTGGAATGGGATGTCTGAAAAGAATGTTAGTAGAAATTGTTAATCATTTTTAGTATTTAAAAAAAGGTGCGGTGTTTGCATTTTAGTATTCAATATGTTAAAAAGATTTTACCTCAAATACTATTGAAGGATTCGTTATATTATTTATAACTTTACTTACCATTAACTAAGTAACTTAAAAGCTTTTTAAACTGTTATTATATTATCCTTTCAGCTTTAGTGATGGATTTTTATAATAATGAATAAATAAAAAACTCACGATGACACCTTAATAGATTATAAACAAAAAGCACGATAAACAAAAATAAACGATAGTGATTTGTTTGTCATTATAGCAAGAAAAAAAAATTAAACTGCAAAAACTAAGCGTTTGTTCTTTCTGGCCAGAGGCGTAATGCAAAGGCTAAAACCATTACCCGCTTTTTAAACGTAATGATAATGGCAACTCTTAACATTCTGCCATCGGCCACGTTCATTTGCAATTACGAAAAATTGTTTTTAATGTTTTTATAATCTGTGGAGCACGGCGCGTTTTGACATGCAGGTGCTTCATGTCATTATGTCCTCTGCCTGAACTTTGCTGTTCTTTGTTTAAAAAAATGTTCGCGGAATTTACCTCTGACGAGTTGCTGCATTTTCCTTAAGTTCAATTTGTGCAGTCAATTACTATCAGAATGGAATGAGGCGCGCACCTTCGCGTGTTTATTTAATGACTAAATAATTCAGTACATGATTAGTGTGTTTGTACATTTGTTCTGGTTATCCGAGTCACGTGTCCGGACCGAGGAAATGGTAATTTCGTGCGCCGGACTTGTCCTGGTCAGACCTTTCTCCCGTCACTGAGGAATATTGTGTTATCATGTAATTTATGGTTTATCTTAATTTCATCAGACGTTTTTAAATTTTTTAATGATTCCTGTATCGGATGTTCAAGAATGTGACAAACGCTGTTTTACGAGTGTATTTTTTTCTTTCTTTTACAAAATGTTTATCGTATCTCGTTAAACATTGCCAGTACATGGTCTGTTGAATTTAATTTAAATTTCAAATTGACACATCTGCGACGTAAAAAAGCGATAAGGCATTTTTTCAGTGCGTTCTTGTGTTGAAAACATTTTATTGTAGAGTTTAATTATTTTTTTCTGATTATTGTAATGAAATAACTGTGAAGGTATAATATACAAGTTGTAATAAACGAAAGCTAGATATTTTGCAGATCTGAACCTTAATCATAGAGAACTTGGTAAACTTAATTAAAGCTATTATCAAGTGCTGTGAATTGACCCGAGGTCTCCGGATTAGGAGGCGAGCAGTTTAATATTATGCCAAGGGCAAAGTTGGACAGCAATACTATAGTAAAATTCAATCAAATCTCAATTTCAAGTAAATGAATATTCAAATTCAGTAAATATACCTATATTCCATACTTATAAATTATCAGTAATGAAGTAATGGGTAACTTGACTTCACTTTACGACATTTTTTATTATACCATTTTTATTTATGTTCCTTAGAGTTATTGATTGTGGATATAACATTAGCATTAATAACAAATGGTACGAGGAAGTAATAAAGTTGTAAAACCCCACAACGTAAGTTGAGGACAAAAACTAAGTCCATATTAACTTAATCTAATACATATTACATATTTGAATATTAATCTGAATAAGTATTTCGATACGAAATGTTTTAAGTGAAATGGTTTTCAATACACCCTTACAATATTAAATTCACCAAAGAATTTTAGCAGGTTAAAAACTTCAATAGCAAAAATCTCGAAATTCCTTTAAATAAAGCTGGGTTACCACTTAAGGTAATTGTTTGCCCTATAGCTTGAAGTTTGAGATTAAATCAGCGAGTCCGGTTTGGTGAGTGGGTCATAGCGGCTCCGCAGGAGGACGCTATAAATTCTTCAGTTCCGTTACGCACGCGTGGTTAGATCTGAGAAGTTGAAGATTGTACACATTTGTAATATCGTGTTGCTATCTGACAAGTATGTTGACGTATGCTAGTTACTTATACCGAATTTATAGGTTGGTATTACAAATATGAAACGTGTCTGGTCAGTATCTGCGCAACAACAGGGCGGGATTGGGCGACTGCCCAGGGCGCCGTAGACATCTCGCCCAGGGCTCCGATAGAGCTAAAACAACCGCTATCACTTGTGGGTTTCCCGTTTTGGAAGCTGTGATTTATTACAACTATTGTGCACAATCAGTCGACTACCGAATAAAAATAAACCTGTAATCAGTAACAGCCATCAATCATAAAGTGGTCAATTTTTATCATGTGGAGTGTTTTGAGAAGGTATTATCTCATATATAGCTACGTTACCGGAGACATGTTGCGGAAAATTTGAATTCACGTGACCTTTCCGATGGTGTACAAGACAAAACAAAACACGGTTTTTTACCAATTTGTTTTTTTTAATCTGCTCCAACGAAGCCACAGATAACAGCCAGTCATACAAGGGGCACATGACTTAAACTTCGATTGTCTTTGAATCGAATTTACTATTATCTTACTTGTTACTAATATTGTAAATGCGAAAGTTTAGATGGATGGATATTTGTTAGAGTTTGTAGCCTAAACGGCTGAACGGATCTCGATAAAATTTGGCATAGATGTGGAGATAGTCTGGAAGAACACATAGGCTACTCAATTTTTTGTTTTTATTCCACGTGGACGAAGTCGCGTGCCAAAGCTAGCATTATAATATTTTGTTTTTAATATAAAATGTTGCCTCGCAGCTTCTTTTTAATTTTTGTCAACTCACCTCTATAAATTATTAAAAATGAAAGTAGGTAATTGCTATGTCATGTTGTAGGTGCTGCGGATACGTTGAAGTGAGTTACGTATAATGATGTAACGATAATTATGTCTGTCTGTCCGTCTTTACATCGCCGTCCGCCATTTGGAGCGAGACTGCTTTTTGCTCTGCTCTTTGCTGTTAGCTTATGAAATAATTGCAACTTCTTTTGTTGTACTTTTTGCTCTTTGGTACCTTAATTGTTTCTAATACAATTTAATATAGGATTGTATTTGGTTCCGTAGAAGAAGGGACCATAAACTACAAGCTGCCAACATTAAGGAAGCAAGGTTATGGTATCGGTAATTGTGACATAATTGAGAATTTGACAAATGTAAACGATGTAATAAGTTTTTAAATGTTCATGCTGATGAAGCCGCACGGGCACAGCTTGTCTTGTATATTGTTTTATACATAAGTGATAGTTACCATTATTAATACAAAAAATACGTACCTATTATTTACGAACAAAAAAATGAGA